GAGTCAGATTCATATAGGAGTGGCGGGGAATAACTTCTCATATCCTCATATCACAGACACAAAGCCACCCAGCAAAACTTCAATAACCCCTGCATTTCTTTCTGGACATGGGTGAGTGCACAGAATTTTTAATAACTCTTATCATCTCTTATTGATGTGATTTGAAAATGTGGATTTCAATAACTTACTAATGTTGCCTTTAATATGTCCTTTCTGTCCTTACACATCACATTGCGCTCATGCACTGTGGGCAAGATTTACCGCTTTAACCATGTGTTGTCATTTATAAAAAGTATTTTGATATCCACATATGGATTATTAATTTACTACTGATTCACATTTTGCCCTTGTTCCTAGTATATGATATTGTTTGTCATTCAATAATGATTTCAGAAGACAGAAACAAGAACAGCACATGGGCTCAGCTGGGATTACTTACTTTTAAATAAAGGAAGAACTCCTCATTACCTCCTCTAACCCCTTTTGACCATAAATAAGACTGGAATCATAGTGTCAGAGATGGGCAGTGACTCTCATCATGCCAAGGTCATGCCAGGTCATTCATGTGAAAGAGGTCAGATACTCCCCCATGTGTCATGGGCATAAATTAGCAAATCTCTATGAGAACTGCAGACCCAAACTTCTGCTAACCATTTTTTTCTCACTTGCAAGCTTGTGTGTTAACTTTCACACATTTCTACAGCTTTTTACAGCTTTCTAGTCTACTTGACTGATTATCTGGCATTTACTGTAAATGCATTAATGCCTTTTGCACTGAATTCAAATAGAAGCTGTGAAGGCCTGTATCACTCTATCACTGTAACCACTGTTACTGCAGCAGGGCACAGCTGATGCGTGGGTATCAGCAGGCACTATTATTTATGGGACTCTAGCAGTCTTCCTGCTGTTACTATTTATATTTCACTAGCATTTTGCTCAACTTATCCTCGATTCCTTCAAACTAAAATCATATAATTTTTGAAATGATCAGAATGTTTTATCATAGCGAGATAGTTTAGGCACCACTCTGTATAGTGACAAATCTTGAGTGGAGTTGTTGTTGTTGTTGTTGTGGTGAAGATATTCAAATTGCCAGTCTTGTTCAATATGCTTCTACCCACTCTTTGAACACTTGAACCCAGCCCCCGCCGCCATTGACACTCCGTGCCATGGTACCAGTCTCAGCCAGCTGTGGATGGAGGATGGCCAGAATAGCGACATTGCCAGTGGTGTTAAGGCGGTCCTGGTGACCCCTCTGCCACCACATACTACTGTGTGTGTGTGTCTGTGTGTGTGTGTGTGTGTGTGTGTGTGTGTGTATTGTGGCACTATGGTCTTTGTTTGTTTGACATCGCTGCCCTTTGTTCCTCCTGATCATGGCAAAGACAATGGATCTTGTATCTGCAGCCACAAAGAGAAAGCTGTTCCTGTAGGCCCCTAAAGCCAGTGTTTCACCACCATCTCTCGCTCCCCTGGTGACGCCTGTGACTGCAGAAGAAAAGAGGGCAGGACCCGAATTAGTAGGGGCTGAGCTGTGAGGTGTTGGTACAGGCAGAGGAGCTTTCACATACGGATGAAATCTGCGAGGAAAGGCTTATTTTACAGTAGCAATACCTTGTAGGCAGGACTGTACATCAGGGGTTGGCATTGGGATCATTCTTGTTGCGGAGTACAGGATCAGAAGCAGCAAATGTTTCCGGTCAGGCAGCCTTGGCTTTGCAAAGCCTTAGGTGCTTTCCTCTATCCCATTTCTGCCAATGCATTTATTAACACTATGGATATTTGCTACCTGCTTCAACAGCGCAGCTTACACTGGAAGAAGTGCTTGAGAATGCCGTGAAGTCAGTGGTGACTGCTTTTGTTTGGACGCTTTATTGGGAATCGCTGCTTGAACTCTTGTTTGTCACTGCTGTCTAATTTTTTTTCTGTTGCTTTCTTGCCTGTTGGTGGGGTTTTTGGCGTTTGCTCATGGATTTGCAGACAGAACGAGGCCTTTTTCATAGCTCCCCCACAGTAAAAGAGATCCCCACCGTGGCGTAGATGTGTTGTGTGGTTATATGTGCGGTGTGTGCCGCCTGTGTGCTGATATATTATGCCCCCTCAGGTTGTTATGATTGCTGTATCCGGTGCATTGGGGCAGTGCCCTACCCATCCCTGGTGGCCACCTTGCTGTGCTATGCTGGCATGGCAATGTTTTGTGGCTGTGGGCACGAAGCTTTGACCCAGACCGAAGTCCTGGTTGAGACTTACTTCGCCCGCAACGTTCAGGACTTTGTGGTTATGGCCTCCTTGTGAGTGACACTTCAATAAATTCTCTGAATTATGATTTTTGACCTCTTAAGAAGAATTGTTTGATTTTACTGTTTGACCTGATCTCTCCCTGTGACTATCCCAGTATCAAATACTTCCAGTATGTGATCTATGGCCTAGCATCATTTTTCTTCCTCTATGGTATCCTGCTGCTGGCCGAGGGTTTCTACACCACAAGCGCTGTCAAGCAGACCTTTGGGGAATTCAGGAGCACCCAATGCGGCCGCTGCCTCAGCCTGACGGTGAGAACGGGGGCGAGGGGGTAAAGAGGTGGGGAAATATGACGTCAGATTAAGATGCTGAATACTGGTTTGTTTTAGCTCCAGAGCTCGATTAAATGTTCTTTGTTTATTCAATTTCTAAACAGGACCATGAATTATGGTTGATAGCTGATTTAATGACACCACATTTATCACACTGAAACCTAAGCTCCTAAGCCACATTCCTGTGACCTTACGTGCTGCACTTCTTATTTCACCAGTTTATCATAGTGACGTACATCTTGGCCTTCATCTGGCTGGCAGTGTTTGCCTTCACTGCTATCCCAGTCTTCTTCTTGTTCAACATGGAGCAGACCTGCCACGACATCAACATCCTGGCTGAAACAACCCCCAGCATTAATCAGCACGGCTGGATTTGCATGGACGCCAGGCAGTATGGTGCGTTGCTCTTATAATGACTGACCGCATGTCCACCTGATGAGAATTTTAATGTGTCTGTGGAAGCGATGAATTAATCATGTGGCTGCAAAACTGGTTGTTGAAATAATGAAGATAACTACACCTTTATCTTAATTTCTTTGCTGCTGTGTCCCTGATATGCTTTATGCGGGCAGGAACTTAAATGAGTCATAACCCATCATGATTCAGCAATGGGAGATACTTACGTCATGTCTTCATTTAAGGTCTACTCCCTTGGAATGCAATGCCAGGCAAGGTTTGTGGAATGACCTTGGCATCTATTTGCAAAACCAGCGAAGTGAGTAGATGAATCCAATATTCCTATTTACACAGATCAGTATTACCTGTCAGCATCCTCACATTAAAGTTGTTAGATTTGGTTACTTCTCTAAATATATATTAATCTAACCTGTGTTTGATATGTCTTACAGTTCTACGTCACCTATGACTTGTACATAGCTGCATTTGCTGGTGCCGGGGTCACTCTCTTAGCACTGGTAAGCAATTGCTTTGGTACATTTAGCTTCATTGAGCCATGCAGATAGTTTTGGTTTTATATGGCCAGATTTTGAGATATTTGTCTCTGATTGCTGCCACCTTCCAATCCAATTCAACTTTATTTAAAGTGCATATTTAAAAACAACAGTTGACCAAAGTACTGAATACCTTAATACAACGGTGAATTACATTTTGTTTGTGGCACTCAAAGTTTTGAAAACTTCAGGGGAAAAATTCAGCAACATCTCTTTCCAGGCATGGCTATTCAGTAGAATTATTTTCTACCAAGGAAATAGTTCCTACCAACACTGTTCACAGCAGTGTGGATTATAAAGAGTAACAGGGACACTAAACTGGTAGGTCTGTTTTCAGTGCTGTGCGCACCACAACCAAAAGTCACCTTGTTTGTATTGGGTCAGCAGAAATCTCATAAATTCAACTCCAAACCAAAACTACCGACATGACTAGATATCACTCGAGGTAAGTAATAAAATAATGTCATTTGGGTGATTTTTCCATATTTTCATCTTTTTTCCTTCTTATTCTCCCCACCTCTACCTCAATCGTCTTCCTTTGCAGTTTCTGTATATGATTGCCACCACCTACAACTATGCAGTTTTGCGGTTCTTGGGCAGGAAAGGTGTCCGCTAAGTGCAACACCTTTTGTCCCAGTCAACCCCATCCTCCGGCTATGAGAGGGACAGTCAACACATTCAACATTAGAGTTCCACTCATCAACCGGGAGACAGCAAATTCCACACCTGGATCATCTGCTATAGTATTTCTTTAGACGTGTCCAATAACAGACAAATGATTCTCATCACTATTTTGTATGAACAACAGACAGAGAGATGAAGATAATTCACACCCAGCAGCAAGCTCAGGCCTCCCCCTCAAATCCTCCTCTCAGATGATTCTCTTAGCTTTGTTGTTCATTTTCCTGTCGCAGGTTGTATCTCTCATTTTATCCTTTTTGCGAAGCTTCAGTGGTGCTGACGCTGTTGTCGGATTTTGATGTATGACGTTTCATGAATAATTAAGAGCAATGATAGCTCACCTCGCAAATCATAACTGCATGCCCCTCCTTCAGTGTTTACTGATGCATAATTTTGGTTGTGAATATGATTTTGTTGTTGCCTCATTATCACCAACTTGTGTATCAACATCATGTGAACTTAATAAAGAGTAGCTGAATGTACCAAAGTTCTCTGCAAGGGTTAGGTGTATCCTCCCATCTCCCTTTGTGCTTTCACTTACAATAAATGTACCTTGCATTCACTCATAATGCATTTTTGCCACTGTGTAAGGGTGAGAAACAAAGATGTGCTTCCATTTTCCTGGAGGCTTTTTGTTTACTGCTTAAAATAAGCTGTTTTTATGTTACTGAGGTGTTGATGCTTCAATAACGTGCCTCCAGGTGACTGGAGTTTGATGTGTAGCCCTGCTACTTACTGAGCTGGGTTGAGTTGTGTCTGCTTATTTGAAATTAAGGCTGATTAAATGATTAAAATCTGCAGCAGTAATTTGTGATTTTATTTTAACAGTATACAGTACGTTCTTTGGCAGTTGTTACAATGATATGCTACCAAACCTTTTCCTAATAGAATGCTTAATCCTGACAATACACTATATCCTAAACAACTTTCAGTAGGGAAATTCTTTCAAAAGACAGAATACAGGCTTAAGGCAACAGTGGTGAGTTCCCACCCCCAACAACACATTAATCACAGTATGGTTTGGGTCTTCTCTGATGACATATTTGTCCCAGTTAGGCTTTAGGTCTTAGAGCTTTTGCAAAGCAGCCATCACATTGGATCACTTGGTTAAGCAAAAACATGGGGGTCAGCATATCTCCCAGGGCCTTAGCGCACACACCACACTGCAAAAACATACACAATATTAACATTTAGCATTCATGCAGTCATTCAGTATATAACCACAGATATCCAGTGTGTTTCTAACAGTTAAAGAAGAAGACAGAACAAACCTTTAGACAGTCAGGGTGGCACTGCACCAGAGGTTCACTGAATTTGATCTTGACATATCCCTCAATTATTTTGTCACAGAATGAACAAACATCTTTGCTATGCCTGTGGTAGAGACAAAGTGTTAAAAAGATTATCACCTTTGTTAGTGTTTGCATAACATACATAATGTTTGAAATGCAACATTGTGTTGTCTTTAAAGTGAGACATTACCTGGTCTTATTCCGAGTTTGTGTGGACTGCAGCTCCTCCACGGGCTTTTGAAACATTTCAGAGCTACAAAAAATTGTCATCAGCAAACAATGAGATCCATTTTACTCAACAAGTGAAAACATCAGAATAATATATGAAAAACAGTAAATGTGAGGTGGTTCCTTTTGTTAAGAGCTTACTCACTTGTTGGTATTATCAGACTGTTGGTTCAGTTTTGTATCCTTGGTGAGAGATTGTTTTGGATCTTTCAGAGGTTTAGGAGCAGCTTCAGCTGCAGTCCTAGTTGTTGGCTCAATGCTGTGCATGACAACAGTGTTATCAACAGGCTGGACTTCACGCTCAGCTATTTCAGCTCTGTTCTTTAAAACAGGCTCTGTTGAGGCTGCAGACACAAGTTTACACTCCACAGACTTGACTGCAGTTTCAGCAGCAGGTTGCGTGGGCGATTCGGATACAGATTCTGCCAATAAACCAGGGACTGGTTCCACTCTGTCTTGGAGAGCAGCCTCTTCTCCTGAAGCATCAGTGACAGCATGAGTCTCCGGCGTTGACTCCACGGCAACCTCACTAACAGCATTGACAGTTTTCCCAGCAGCCAGTTCTGGGGGACCTTTTTCACAACTCCCCTCTGTAGCGGTATCAGCAGCAGGTTGCGTGGGTGATTCGGATAAAGACTCTGCCAATAAACCAGGGACTGGTTCCATCCTGTCTTGGAGAGCAACCTCTTCTCCCGAGACATCAGTGACAGTAGGAGTCCCAGGCAATGACTCTACAGCAACCTGTTCTGGTGGACCTTTCACACAGCTCCCCTCTGTGGCGGTTTTAGCTGCAGGTTCAGAGGGTGATTTGGATACAGATTCTACCAATAAACCAGGGACTGGTTTCACTGGTGTTGGAATAATTGCATCACTCTTGTCAGGCAATGACTTCACCACAACCTCAGCTACAGCTTCAACAATTTCTTCTGCAGCCTGTTTTGGAGGACTCCCCTCTGCAGGTTGTACAGGTGATTCTACACCTGCTGACTCTGTTTTGGTTGAAGGTTCCTCTTGAGGTCTCAGTTCAACTGCAAGCCCAGCATGGACATCAGCAGTGTCTTTACTCTCTCCGGTGCCAGCAACAGCAGAGGTTTCTGCAACAACATCTTCATGAGCATCTGCAGAGACCTTATCCTCACTGTGTTTTTCATTTGACTGGTCAGTTGTATTAACATATTCTTGCTTGTTTTCTGCTGTTGTGTTGGCAACTGGCTGTTCACCCAGGCCCACAGGACACTCTGGATTTTTCTTTGTTGAAGAAACTGATGGAACCTCTGCAGAGATGTGTTTCACATCTGACAGATTAACTGCTGTGTCAGCATATTCTTCCTTCTTTTTTTCAGGTGTGTTGGTAACTGATTTTTCTGGTTGTGCCTTATCATATTTGATATGTTCTTTTATGGGTGCTTGGGGCCTGTAACAGAGGAAGGTACTTATTCCCAACTATGCAAAAAAGACATATGAACAAAATCCCTACACTCAGCACCTTTAAATGTCATACTTGCAGTTTCAGTCAATGGAGAGATGCTCTAATATACTAACTTTGTATCGTCTGTGGATTCCACTGTTGACCCCTCAGGCTGAGCATCTTTTCGGGGAGGAATATCTGCACCAATTGCCTGATTAGCCGAATCACTACAACAGAACAGAAAATAATAACACTGTAAAACACATACACCTAGCAACAGTCAATATTTGGTTTCAACGTTCAGAGTGAGATTAATATTGCAAAACTTGAAACAAGTAGATCATAGTCTGCACACTTTTTAATTGAAATTCAGCACACAGGGAGCATATAGGGAGGAGGACTCAGTGGAGAAGCTACTGATCTACAAGAAAAGAATAATATTCACACCTTAAGAAGAACCTTGGCATTTATAACATAGCAGAATAACAATAGCAAATTATATATATTTCTATTTAATTCTTCACAACCAATTAAAGATTTAATCAGCTGTAAACTACTTTAGTTCTAAATGCTAAATGCTCCATACTGAGATAGTTGAAAGAATCTTTTATACAAGGGATAATGTAATTGGTGTCAGGTGACTTGCAAAACGTTTACTTTCTTACTGATTATAGTATCAACAGATAAAACCTCGTCAGCAATAAATGATCGGATGTCAGGAGTTTAAGCAGTTTCAGAAGGGGTTCATCTATAAAACTACACAAAAAATGTTGCACAAATAGTCGGACATGCACTGGAGGATGAGCACAACAAATTACTAAAATATAGGACACCAGCTGAGTAGAACAATAGAGCCAGCCACATTGATTGATGAAACAAAGCTGACGAATAGAGCCTTAAATGTCAACACAATGTTTATTACCAATGTAAATACCACCAAACACGTTGCACTGAAGTGAGGTGGTGGAGTTATTCTCTTGAAAAAGGAATATGATCCTGTTACATGCATGAGACAATTTAGTCCCAGTCCATGCCTCAAACAAAATTGGACTAGAGTGAATAATGCCTGCAGTAGCAAAACAGCTTGATAATAATGTTACTCTTGATAGATTACTAAGTGGTGGTACACCTGTACACACTAAAATAAAAGCATGTGAATTGTTTCATTTCATGTTTAGTGACGGGAACTCTTGATTCAAATTAAATGCCACAGTGTCTACAACTCACATCACACGTTTTCCTCAGAAATGACACAAAAGCTTTTATATCTAATTAGGTAAGATTGTGTTACACAACATTTACCACCAGAAATATCCAAAACCACCAAAACATTAAATATTTACATAGAATGTTAATTATACATTGATTTATTTAGTGAGTATACAGTGTGTGTATATATTTATACATAGGCTATACGTAGAATGTTACTGATTCTACTTTGATTGTATCTGTTCTTTTACATTTTTCTGTGCTGCTGTGTCAACCTGAATTTCCCTATCCCTGAATTTCCTTATCTTTGTGGAAACCTTGGCCTTAATGTGTTTTTTTTGTTGTTGTTGTTTGTTTTTTGCTTGCTAGAATGTGTTTTTTTTATTCTTTACTATTTTCTATTTTTGCCATAAGTCAGTATTGTGATACAATGTGTTGATTTTATCCGCATAATGACTGTATAGTTGGACACTTATTCTTGTAACGGGAAGTTGACTACTTTTATTTTGAAAACAGCGTCACTTCTCTTCCGGTTCTGTTGCCGCTGTTCGGCTTGTGATGTAGCAGTTCATGCTAGGCAGGACTGAATGCGGTTCTGGTGGGAATGTTACCGCGTAATTTCAACTTTATGTATCCGACAGACATGTAGTGGCGACTGTAGACTGAACACCGCAGCTTGTTTTGTGTTTTTAACAGTAATTTTGTCTGAAAAACCACCAGACTTCACCTGACTGTAGTTTACAAACAATAATTAACGTTCCGGTGCGCAGCGTCACAAACAACACAGGACGTCTTCTGTCCCCCAATAAGTTAATACGACGACTCCCCAAGACCAGTAAGTCAGTTGGTAACGATATTTTAACAGGTTTCTCTACGCATAAGAAGAGATTTGAAGGTGTCAGAAAGTACAAGTAACTTACAGTCTCATTTTAATACCCGAATGAACCTGAAGTTAACTTCCTATTCACGTGTTAAGGGGAAATTAAACTTCATCATGTCAGGGCTAATAATATCCCTCGGCTGATTTCTTACGCCACTTAACGACAGTTACAAGATAACGTTAGAAAAGCATACAGATTTTTATTTTATACGCTAGTGCTATATAAAACAGACAACAACCAATTCCAGACCAAACACTCAAGTTAAACCTGGACTGACATGGAGAGTGTTGAGTGTTGAAAAGTCGTATGTGTGTGAAATCTCCTCTTTTGCTTTAATAAATAAAATTAAACGGCTATGAAACAAAACCTTAACCTCTTTTTACACTCCATGTTTTTCAAATTCTAGTTTGACTTGACAGCATTGCAGGTATTTTACATCTCGAACTTGACCTGTAACATTATAGTATGGATGGAGAAAGGGCTGTTTTCATAAACAGAATAAATGAGTTGTGCGATTTTCATAAGACATGTTTATAATTAGGCTGATTTGTTGTGTGTATCGTATTTGTTTAATGCTTCATGCCTGCATTTCCTGTGCCATCCTAGAAAAAAATGCCATCAAGAAATCATCTTGACAAGATCGGGAGGAAGAAGAAGAAGAAGTGGACAGAGGAGGCCATGGAGCGTGCACTAATCGAGGTAAAGTCGGGAAGGTGCACGGTGAGACAGGCTGCCAAGGAGTTTGGAGTCCCTAAATCTTCACTGGGGGACAGAGTCAGTGGACGGGTGACACCAGGGAGTCGCAGCGGGCCCGCTCAGCTTATAACATCTGCAGACGAGGAGCTGTTAGTGGAGTTCTCTTTATACATGTCCAAGCATGGATTCCCACTGACTAAACAACAGCTGGTGTCCTTTGCTTCATCCATTTATAAGCGGCAGCACCGGAGGGTGGCATTTTCTAAACTAGGCCAGACCTGGTGGCTCAATTTTAGAAAACGGCAAGAAAAGAATATTGCCATTCAGCCAGCAGACAATGTTGTCCGTGGGAGGACCGCATGTGTGAGGAAGGAAGCAGTGGATCAGTTTATTAATTTATTGAACACTGTCGTGGACGCTCGTGGGCTCAGACACAAGCCTCACCAAATCTTTAACTGCAATGAAACAGGCTTCCAGCTGGGCAGGAAGAGAGTGATTCTCCCCAAATCTGCCAGTCTGGGCTACAAGCCAACACCAGGCTTGAGAGACCACATCTCCGTCCTGGCTTGCTTTAGCGCAGCTGGAGAGGACATTCCCCCATTTATTGTCTACTCAAAGGCCTATCCAGGGGGAGTATGTTACAAGACACAAGGACCTCCAAATGCCCTCTATGGATGGTCAGATTCGGGCTGTATCAACTCAGAGCTTTTTAAGAAATGGTTTCTCAAACACTTTCTCCTGCACGCACCGAAGGAGCGTCCGCTGATGCTGATTTTTGACGGACACAAGTCTGCTGTGAACCTTGAGGTGGTGGAAGCAGCTCGTAAAGAGGACGTCATCCTTCTGTGCCTTCCGCCTCATTGCTCTCACATCCTGCAGCCACTCGACGCTGGTCTCTTTGTTCTCCTGAAGCAGCGTTTTGCAGCCCTCACAGGTGATGGTTGTGCCACTGATACTCACTTCGCAGTCAGTAAGAAGGAGTTCTCAGGTGTATTTAAAGGGACGTATCAGGTAGTGAAGGAGGAGGAGGGCATTAGGACTGTGAAAGAAGGCTTCAGGAAATGTGGCATCTACCCACTGGACCACTTCACCATCACAGAGGGTCATTTAATGCCATCGCACAGCATGGGCCCAGCAGCTGGACCCTCTTTGTCCACATCAGTACAGGGTGTGCACACTGTAGGAGACCTCACAGTTGCTGGACCCTCCTCCGAACTCATTACTACCCAAGAATATCAGGCAGCTGTCATTCAGGATCATTTAACTAAACCTAAATGAACTGGTTCTATCATTTGCAATACTGAATGAGTTCACTCCTGCTTGAGTATCGTGCACCATCTCCCCCGGCCTCCCTGCAGAGCGCCCCGTTTGTTAGCTTGCCAGAAGAAAGGGGTGTGTTAATTACATGCCAACAGTCAGATTTAGAAGTTGAGTAAAAATGTTGCACAACAGTGGTTCCCAAACATGGGGGGGATGGAGTAGGGGGGCAATAAGAAAGAAAAATATCAATTTCTGATGCACAAAATTGAATTTCTCTATTTATTGCATTTTTCTTGTGAAATTCTGGATACATGTCCAAATTAAGGCCATAACCTGTGAGGAGGGATCAGATGTAGACTCTGCTTTATTTTAGGGGATCCCAAGCTAAAAAGAACTACTGCTGTACAACAAATTAACCTTAGCTCTGTCATTTTCTGTGTCAGCTAGCTAAGCTAATTAACATCAAGCAGTACGAACAGAGACAAAGTTGTGCTTGATTTCTTCATTGGTGGATCCTAGTCAGTAAGTCTAGAAGGTGTCTGCTGTGAGCTAGCTTTCTAATTCTGTTCTGATTGACAGATTGTTAACAAGTGTTATGTTGTTTGAGTTTGCATCATTACATGAACTAGTACATTGTGAAAATGTAGTTGGATAATAAGGAGAAGATCTACTCATAAAACTTGTTACTAACTGATTCTCCTTTGTGGTGTTCAAGCCTGCTGTGAAACACGAGGGGTTAACTGTTTTTTTTTATACTGATCGAAGGGAAACGGAAACATGTCTTTGAACTCTGTTCAGCTGTGAATCTCTTATTCCTTTACTTGCGTATTCTGAATGTACTTGATTCATTAAGTAGTTACAAAAGGAATATTTATTCACACAGAAGAATGGTCCCTGCAGGGAAAACAGAGTAAAATAATTTCTTACAGCACAAATGTGTCCATAAGCTTAATAATTTACTAAAGGGGGTTGTACTTGTGTTTGTCGTGTACATGTTCAAGTCAGGTGATATAATATCAATGCAACAGGTACAGCTGACAACACTACACAGGCAGGGGACACTACTGCATATATCAATAATCATACTCACTGTGTAAATAGTCAATGGATGTTTACATCTGTTTACCACCATTATTCTACAGTAGCTCAAACAGACAAACTGCACTACAGAGCCTGTTTTGTCACTACATTGAATATGTACAAGGAAGAAGAAGTAGTAATAGTCTGGTTTGTTAAAAGTATGAAGAGATGTGAAATTTGGACAAATTGGAGGACCACACGTAGTATTTAGCAGAAGAGCCAACACAGCGTGTCAGCCACCATAGCTTCTACTATGCGCTTTCAAAGGGAGGGATCAGTGGTGACAGCAATTTAGTTGCAATTCACAACCTTCACCACTAAATGCCACTAAAACTTACACACTGAGCCTGTAACACACAATCACAAAAAACTGATGCATGGCAAAATGTTTACACAGCTCAAACTGATTTATATTTATTTTATAATTTATAATATTCATTAAAAAGCTGAAATGATTTGGAATTGAATGGCAAATAAACAGGTGTGAAAGGAGTTGTGTGCTTCGATGGGAAATAATTTCCGGAAGACTTGTATTCAGATTAACACTTTATCGACCAGCTAAAGCACAGGTAACCCTGCAGTGTTCTGTGGGTCTTTATGGAGGCAGCTGTCCAGGGCGAAGTGTTTATATATGTTAAAATCATGATGATCATTTGTGCCTGAAGCGTTTACATTTTATTGTTTTTGTTCACTGACACAACATAGACAAAGGAGAATTTCAGTTTGAGTTTCAGAACTGACACCACATTGTTCCTTGTATAGCAATGGGTCTAATAGGCATAATCAAATATCACATGGTGTCATTTCTTGCTTGACTGCATTTTCAACCCAAAAATCAGACACATTCTTAATAAAATACATAGAAGAATGACTATTTGTCAGAAATTAGTAATTTAATAAGCACCTACTTCAGACACAATGACTTCCAACATTTACTAGTGACTGAGGAAAAGCACGAAAATCAAACCAAATCTTTGGTATTGCATTTGTTATTTTGTTCAAAAAACTGGTACTGTAAAACAGATCGCCTTTAAACAGAGTCTACAGCTCAGTGTGACGTAACAAGGCCTCTTTTGGGGCGGTCACATGGTTTTTGACATGCACTGCACAATCAGGATTTTTGTCCTTTTTTTTAAAAATAGTATCATTCACATATTTCAGTATGTATACTGTCGCACTCACTTGAATTTGCTGTCTGTGGACAGGACAGATGCCTTCTGTCTGACTGAGACGGGTTTGGTCTCCACAACGTTTTGTTTCCTGCAAGACAGAAGAAGTTGTTTGTGAATGTGCAGCATATTTGTTGCATCGTTTCTCTCTCTCAAAAAGTCAGTGCTTGTGAGGTAGGACATACAAAAACTAACGCAGGAAAGCAAGATAGCACCAGAATCAGGTTTGTAACAATGTTATGTGATTCAATGACTTGTTACTTTAAATTAAAGCTGGGGTACGCAATTTACTTCTCACATCTCTTTACATCCCAATGGCAATCAATGAATCATATGCTCAAGCACAAAAATGAAAACAATCCTGGCTGTCACAGGACTGTAATGCTGGCCTACCTGCCTGTCTACCTGCCTACGTGTCCACCTGTGTGCACTCTACAATTTTTTTGTTTCGATGCTATCAACATCTAGCTGACTCTTCCTAGTTCCCCAACGTTACCTCTCCCAGCTTTAACGCTTCATTTTTAATGTTGCATCTTAACTGCTGAGGATACCTTGCAGTGTGATGCTCTTCCTTTTTCTCTTTTGATTTCTGGATCCAACTGACGTCGTTTTTCAGTGTAGTCCGCACCCTGGTGGTTTGAAGAACCTGGTTTCTATCAACATCTACAACACACACACATACGCACACTTTCTGTCAGTACTGCATACCAACAATACTTGCATAGCATATTTAATCTTATGAACGGGTGGAAAACTGAATTTAAATGTGACTTACCTTTTGACATGATGCTGATCTTTTCTCAGATGTTCTACCTGATGAAATTATTTAAAGGTGAAAAATGTATTCCAGGTTTGTTTTTTATCAAGACATCTGTTCAAAGGAAACATTAATGGTAAAATTTTGATGTGCTGTGGACTGTATCTGCTCCCCGTCTGTCTCATATTCTCACCAGAGACCTCAGATCGGTTCAAAGACCCAGCATTTCATTCAAAACCTGTAATCCTGCATTCAACAACTCATACAGAATGTGAAAGAATTGATCATTTGTGACAGTATTAACCATTCTGGACAACTATGTACTGTTCAATCAGATTCACTATCCACTCTTTTGCTGAGAATTCTAACCAGCCCTGTGTTTACAGTGTCATGTCTCCTCATACTGTGCATTGTGTCTGTGTTCTCTTGGAGCTCCTGTTAACATTTTGACCTGCACTTAGTGTTTTAATCTCGCATGATGAGTCTCACTGGAGATGTGCCAGCAGCAATTAGCCAGGTCAAATTCATTATGCATAGAAAATGACAGCAATTCTGACTTTGTAATGAGCCCTTGCCCCTGCATAGTCACTGAACATGAAATCAGAACTAGTGTGAAGTCCAATCTTGCAACATATTGTGTTCTCACCTGTTCAGGTCAGCTGTTTCAGCACGTCGGAGTAGAGTGGTGTCAAGCCTCCTCTGGATGTGTGTCTCGCGCAGGCAGGCAGATAGAGACACTTCAACCCGAGTCCCCACCCACTGTCATTTCAGATTCCACCCCCTCCTGGTCTAAAGTGTTGCACCTGGATGCTGCTATGTAGGTTGATCGAGTGGATGGGTGGGTTGCTTTTAATGACAATTATGGTGTAGGGGCCATTGTTTTTTAGTTTAGTGTGAAATGTTGTATTCTGGAGATGTATTCCATCACAATAACTCTCGAGAACCAAATAAAAGCAGCTTTTTCATGTATTGTTCTTCCAGCTTTTCTAATGTATGTGACAACCACAAACTTTAGCCTTGGTCAATATATTGTCACACTGTAAATGTGGCCAGAAATTAAACCCCCGCAGCTCATTAGATGAAGACATTTCATAAGAAACATTTTAGTGTCGTTCCACTCTTTAGCTTCAAAGAAGATCATGTTGTTCCATTAGGGGGAGGCTAGGAATCAAGAAAGACCTGATCTTGAACTGCTTGGAATTTAATCTACTGCCTTATCAGAACCTTTCAATATCAAATGCATCCATGCAAAATGTACACATTCTCCAGTGAAACTGAAACGGGCACATCAACACACTGAACCTTAACCTCAGTTTTTAATGTTGACATTTTACATTTTAATAAACTGAAAAGTTTGGTCAGTGGATTATTTTTAATGCAATTTTTAATTCTGTAAGAATCAACTATCTGCATGACTTGTGAGAAAATATTTCTTAATCATTGGGGAGGCTAATTTTAAAGTTAATAGCAAACATCCTTTCACTCTCTCACATACACACACAAAAACGTATCCAGGTTTATATATTATGGATAAGATTACATCAAATAAAGAGGTCACAGAATAGTGTACAGTCACACTGTGAAGAATTTGTTGGCATAGATTCTGCAGTGGCTTCACTTTTCTTGGGGTTGGTCCTGAGGGAGCATTTGCACTTGACAAAGTAGAATAAGACCTGAAAAACACAAAATATTTGAATGCCGTGTGGAATCCAGCCAAATGTCCTTCATCGGTTTGCTTCTTTGAGGCAACATCTACAGTAAAAAAGTATTCCTTCCTACAGGTATCAGAACAAGACGGATGTCATCAGAGCGACATGCTCACATACAGTACATAAAGACCTGACATGGTGAAATGGGAATTGATCTATGAAAATTGTAGAGAAACAGGACAGCATGTCATTGTGATTTATGTATCTTATGTTCAAGCGTGTGTGCGCTCTGTTTCACCTGGCTGCAAGAAAAATGTCCTAGTAATAGAGAAAAATAAAGTTTAAGCTCAAAGTCTCTGACAGCCTTACGGCCTTGTTTTACAGCCTTGAAAACTGGTCACAAATATGTGATATAATGAGACCTCATCTTGAGATGTTTACACTGGCCTGAAAATACAATAATAATAACTATAAACTGTGTGCCTATTACAATGATTGGAAATTTGCTTTACTTTGCTCCCGGCCTCTATTCGTCACACTCCTCACATGTGTAGTGCATTTGCATTGCATAGCTTGCACATTAGAAATGTAACCATAATACAATCTTAAAGACCTGGCAGTTAGGGTTACAATGTAGTCAAAACATGATTTGTGACTTTCAAAACATCCAATTGACCTGCTATGATCATGTTATTATATTTTTATATACAGTCTTTTATAAAGTACCATATGTTCAACTGAACTAACAATGGTAAAAGACCAGCTTTAAACTCACTGTGCTGTGTGATTAAAGGAAACCATCCAGAGATGTAGGTACTGAAAGTACCTCCTTGAACCCTAATCAAAGGCATGCACTAAGTAGAGAGTTAGTTGTGATAAGATTAAAGGCAGGTTGAGTTTCGATCGTTTTGATATACAGTCTATGATTTTGATGCATCATCTGATAAAAATCTGCCCCCTATCATCTTTTCTACAACACTGCGTATTCTTATGAAGGCACTTTCTTTGCTCTCGCTAGCAAAGGCAGAGTACCTGATTCAATTTAGAAACCGTAGAGTATTTGTTTAGTGAGACGTCTATACAATGATCAAAGCAACATATGTGAAAAGTATTAATTAGCCAAATGTATCAAAATAAGTTCTATTTATTTATCAAGTCTTAAGAGTTGTGTCAATTCCGAGTGTTTTTGAATGCATCTTCTCCACGCGCAGGTTTCCACGGGAAGTGACGTTACATCTGGTCTCGGATCTGTTTTTGTCGTGAGGTAAGTTACCAGCTTTGTAAGTGTCATTGCTCCACAATGCCCATAATTTGAATTTTAGTTTTATTTCAGTAAATATAACGACTTAATGTGTGTTTGGCGGCACACAGTCGGCAGTAGAGGCTAAATAACATTGTTTCCCTCAGAAACAGCGTGGTTAGAGCAGGTTAGCCTGTTAGCAGCGTATTAGCGGCTAACTGGTTAGCTTGTGTTTCTTAACGATAACTAAAAACAAGAAAGGGTATAGGTCTCACAAATGCAATTACCTGGGTATTAACATTTTTAATCAGAAACGCTTATTGATAGATCGATGTTGTTTAACTTGTTAATGAGTGTTCTTCTGTCCTTTAAATGTTTGACGAATGAACACTAATATATATATACTAATTAATTTTCATGCCTCAGTTGGGAAATTAATGATTTCAGTAGCATAACTCATTATCCCAGGGTCTCTCAACTGTAATGCTCATCAGTGTTGATGTACAATTACATTACTACACAACCATATCATCTGTAAATTATGAAGATTTATTCTCCTGCACACAATTTTTCAGAGTTTCCATAATCACTGTTGGGTTAAAACATGTAGGATAGTTATATTTAAAGTAGGCGACTGTTTCAGTATTGACAAGTAGATTTAGATATTTGTGTCAGGAGCTGTTTCTAGCTTTCCCACCCTGTATAATTGTCCTCAGGCCTTGGTGTGTACTGTTCTGAACATTACTTGATTTTCAGCTTGTGTTTTTTCTCCTTTCATGTGTTGCCACAGCAGAGCCATCAAAGATGACTACAGCTGCAAGACCAACATTTGAGCCGGCAAGAGGAGGGAGGGGTAAAGGAGAAGGTGGGGATTTGAGTGCCCTGTCTAAGCAGTATTCTAGTCGAGATCTTCCGGGTCACACCAAGATCAAGTACAGGTCAGCACATGAAAAATGAATGGAGTTTGCTTTGTATTCAGGATGTTGCTGAGTGCCCTGCTGGCTGGTTTCAAATCCAGTATGATGCTTTCTAAACTGTTCCTTCTGCATCTTCTATCTGCCGGCTCTGAATGCTGGAAGCAATGTGTTTTTAATTGTTTATTTTCTCCCGTCCTCAGGCAGCCGACCCAGGATGCCCCTGAGGAGGTGCGTGCCCGTGACTTCCGCAGGGAGCTGGAGGAGAGGGAGCGTGTAGCAGCACGTGAAAAGACCAGAGAAAGGGGACCAAGAGGTTGGTTTTTCTGCAGATATTAGACTTAATGTGTATATTTTGAAAGTTTATACCCATTAAAACAACTACTTAAATACTGCATTGACCCTAATTTTCCAGAGCACACCACATCATCATCTTCGTCATCATCTTCAAAGAGACCCAGACTAGATCAGATCCCAGCAGCCAACCTTGATGCTGACGACCCTCTCACTGATGTAAGTGCCTGCACTGCCAGACTTAGCGGTGATTAGCGCTCATTCATCCCCCTCACCAATGATGCTTGGTTGTTTATAGGATGAGGAGGATGAGGACTCTGAGGAGGATAGTGATGACGACGACACTGCTGCACTTCTGTTGGAGCTGGAGAAGATCAAGAAGGAGCGGGCTGAAGAGCAAGAACGCAAAGTAAAGTATAATTTCAGACTGGCGTGTTGGTACCTGCTGTCTCACAAGGATCGGGCTAACGGCGCAATCCGCAAATTAAGACATGGATTACGTTTGAAGAGCAAATGTTACTTGTTTGTGTTCAGTGAATTTGTTAATTTTCCTGTCCTAGGAGCGGGAGCAAAAGGCAGAGGAGGAGAGGATTCGCATGGAGAATATTTTGAGCGGCAATCCGTTGATTAATTTGGCAGGGCAGCAGCAGCAGCAACAACAACAACAACAACAACAACAGATCAGCCAGACTCAGAATACATTCAGGGTCAAGAGAAGGTATCTCATAAATACACACAAGTCTATTTGAAGAAAAAAAAGTTATTCGCTTTCCACTAACAATTAATCTGTTAATATCTTTCTAGGTGGGATGATGATGTTGTGTTCAAGAATTGTGCCAAAGGAGTAGACGATGCGCGGAAGGAGAAACGCTTTGTTAATGACACGCTGCGCTCCGAGTTCCACAAGAAATTTATGGAGAAATATGTAAAGTAAAGGAATTAGAGTGTCTTAATTGTATTGTTTGTTTTTTTTTATCTCATTATTTTGGTCTCCACCCTCCTGTTGCCCTCTGTCCCAAGAATGGTAGATGGCATTCAAAAACATTTTGTATTCAAATGCATTAGCATTTGTACAGTCAACACGTAATATGTTGTGTATATAAAATTGTTTGAGTTACATCCTTTGAATAAAGCTTATGAAAATTAAAATTGTTTAATGTGATTCAGTGTCTTTCTGTAGGTTTAAAAAAAAAAAATCAATAAACAAAGACTGGTGTTTAAAATGACTTAGAAGGCATTTCTCTGAGAGAGATCAATGTCATTATGGAGAATGATGTGGTCACAGCTTTGTTTTTAAAGTACCTTCTCTTAATTTTGTCTTGTCTGCGAACTGAATTTGTTTATTGCACAGTTCTCATTGAGCAAGACCTAAAGGATCAGTTGTAACGCAATGGGTTACTTATATTAATATAAAGAGAAACTTGCATGAACCTTGAAAAATTAAACAACAGGTAATGGAATATAAATCAGAAACTTACTTGAGCGTGCGATGGACTGGCGACTTGTCCAGGGTGTACCCCTGGTGCAGCTAAACAAACTATTGTCGGGCAGTTATTGGTATTTTTCATAATTATGTGAGCAGTCATGATCCGACTTTAAGCTTCACACAACATGAGTCTGCGAACAGCGAAAGTTGGTTAACCTGGCTGAGAAGGTGCAGGTGTATGCAGCCCGTCGCCTGCAGCTCTTTATTTAACAGCTCACTGAGTCTGCTGCTCCTCACTGTAGCATTATCACTGCAATATTTCAAATTGGTCCGCTGTCTCAAACTGTTGGAAACGGAGACGGTTGTCTTGTTGTGTAGCCGCATTGTTGATGTCTACACAGCAGTGGTTAGCGCTGATCTCACTTATAAACAGATTGCATTTACTGTGACTACTTCAAAATAAAAGTCTACTTGTGTTTTGCAAGTTAAATGCTTTTAATGTGAAGCTGCAGCAGTAGGAAAAATTCAGTTTGCATTAGCAGTAGCTTAATACAACATTTTTTCACAGCTTACCCTGCTGAAGCTGTTCTCTTGCACATGAAGCCAAAGTGGTCGCGAGTTTTTCCCTTTTTATATACAGTCTATGGTTTTTCCTTGCAAGAGAAGGTACTTTTTTGTACTCAGTAACGGATGTGATTGAAAATGTAGTACAATATACAGGTGCTGGTCAGATAATTAGAATATCATCAAAAAGTTGATTTATTTCAGTAATTCCATTCAAAAAGTGAAACTTGGATATTATATTCATTCATTACACACAGACTGACATATTTCAAATGTTTATTTCATTTAATTGTGATGATTAAAACTGACAACTAATGAAAATAGGGATAACCGCACCCTGGAGAGGATTGTGAAACAAAACCCATTCAAAAATGTGGGGGAGATTCACAGAGAGTGAACTGCAGCTGGAGTCAGTGCTTCAAGAACAACCACGCACAGACGTATGCAAGACAAATAGGTTTCAGCTGTGCATTCCTTGTGTGAAGCCACTCTTGAACAAGACACAGCGACACATTTGAAATATGTCAGTCTGTGTGTAATGAATGAATATAATATCCAAGTTTCACTTTTTGAATGGAATTACTGAAATAAATCAACTTTTTGATGATATTCTAATTATATGACCAGCACCTGTATGTATGTATGTGTATATACACTGCTCAAAAAAATAAAGGGAACACTTAAATAACACAATGTAACTCCAAGTCAATCACACTCCTTTGAAACCAAACTGTCCACTTAGGAAGCAACACTGATTGACAATCAATTTCACATGCTGTTGTGCAAATGGAATAGACAACAGGTGGAAATTATAGGCAATTAGCAAGACACCCCCAATAAAGGAGTGGTTCTGCAGGTGGTGACCACAGACCACTTCTCAGTTCCTATGCTTCCTGGCTGATGTTTTTGTCACTTTTGAATGCTGGCAGTGCTTTCACTCTAGTGGTAGCATGAGACGGAGTCTACAACCCACACAAGTGGCTCAGGTAGTGCAGCTCATCCAGGATGGCACATCAATGCGAGCTGTGGCAAGAAGGTTTGCTGTGTCTGTCAGCGTAGTGTCCAGAGCATGGAGGCGTGGAGGAGGCCGTAGGAGGGCAACAACCCAGCAGCAAGACCGCTACCTCCGCCTTTGTGCAAGGAGGAGCAGGAGGAGCACTGCCAGAGCCCTGCAAAATGACCTCCAGCAGGCCACAAATGTGCATGTGTCTGCTCAAACGGTCAGAAACAGACTCCATGACGGTGGTATGAGGGCCCGACGTCCACAGGTGGGAGTTGTGCTAACAGCCCAGCACCGTGCAGGACGTTTGGCATTTGCCAGAGAACACCAAGATTGGCAAATTCGCCACTGGCGCCCTGTGCTCTTCACAGATGAAAGCAGGTTCACACTGAGCACATGTGACAGACGTGACAGAGTCTGGAGACGCCGTGGAGAACGTTCTGCTACCTGCAACATCCTCCAGCATGACCGGTTTGGCGGTGGGTCAGTAATGGTGTGGGGTGGCATTTCTTTGGGGGACCGCACAGCCCTCATGTGCTCGGCAGAGGTAGCCTGACTGCCATTAGGTACCGAGATGAGATCCTCAGACCCCTTGTGAGACCATATGCTGGTGCGGTTGGCCCTGGGTTCCTCCTAATGCAAGACAATGCTAGACCTCATGTGGCTGGAGTGTGTCAGCAGTTCCTGCAAGGGGAAGGCATTGATGCTATGGACTGGCCCGCATGTTCCCCAGACCTGAATCCAATTGAGCACATCTGGGACATCATGTCTCGCTCCATCCACCAACGCCACGTTGCACCACAGACTGTCCAGGAGTTGGCGGATGCTTTAGTCCAGGTCTGGGAAGAGATCCCTCAGGAGACCATCCGCCACCTCATCAGGAGCATGCCCAGGCGTTGTAGGGAGGTCATACAGGCACGTGGAGGCCACACACACTACTGAGCCTCATTTTGACTTGTTTTAAGGACATTACATCAAAGTTGGATTGGCCTGTAGTGTGGTTTTCCACTTTGATTTTGAGTGTGACTCCAAATCCAGACCTCCATGGGTTGATAAATTTGATTTCCATTGATAATTTTTGTGTGATTTTGTTGTCAGCACATTCAACTATGTAAAGAAAGGAGTATTTAATGAGATTATTTCATTCATTCAGATCTAGGATGTGTTATTTTAGTGTTCCCTTTATTTTTTTACACAGTACAATACTTTAAACAAAACTACAGATAAAAAAAAAAAAAAACTACTTACAAGTAAAGTACAGTGAGTAATTGTAATTCGTTACTTTCCACCTCTGGTCCTGTTTCAGAGCAAAGAGCTCATCGAAGGCAGCCGGCAGGGGGCACCACCGCCAACAATCGCCTCCTTATGACAGGGATTGGGAGGCTGCTGGGAAAAGATGGCAGCTTCCTTTTGTGTGTGTGGATTTACTGTACTCCGAGGGGGGGTTTAAGGCATTCCTCAGTGGACTCACGTCTCCATCTAACACTTGGGGCTTACACCGCCGATAGTCCAAACATTTTGAGCAGGAGAACATGGAGAAGAGCGGGAGCATCGACAGTCTGGGCTCGAAACGCTCCTCTTCCCGACAACCGAGTGTCGATTCATTGTCCAGGTAGCCAAACCCACCACAACGCATCATTTTTTTAAGCTAGCTAAAAGTTTTGTTAAACTAACAGATGGCTATGTATTTCTGTTTTATAATTTACTTTAATATGTTTAATCCTAATGGCGTTTCTGTAAACTGTCAGGAGTGCCTGTTAAATATATTATGTTGCTAATCTGGTGAACAAACCATGAAACAACCACTGCTGTTGACAGTTCATTAGGGCACCATTTAAGGGCGGTGTTGTCAATATAGGCTATTCCTGAAATTAAAAAAGCGAAATAATATACACTGTGAAGTATTAATTATGAGACATGAGAAAATATTGAATAAAAAGTGCAATCACAGGTCGCTACAGCCCAAGGTTGGGGTGACCAGACATCCCCGTTTTACGGGGACAATCCCCGGATTTGGTGGCCTGTCCCCGGAAATGTCCCCGTGTTTAACTGTGTGTTAATCATAGGTGTAATCAATAAGGTGTTAACAGACCTGAAATCAAATTTTACAGACATAATGTGCAAACATTACTTTATGTCCGTGGTAATAGCAAAGGCATGTCTTTGTGATACCTTAACGATTCTTTTAACGGAATAATCTCAGTTGTGGCCAAATAAGTGTTGACATTACGTGATTATAGGCAATAATGGAAGCCTGTTGTGATGGAATGTGTTTGGTAGGTGTATATATCTAATATCCTTGTTTATATTTGGAAAACGGAATGTAACCTGTAATTAACACGACTTACTGCTGAGTGATATATAAAATAAAGACATGATTTCTCTTGCAATTATCCTTATGACTCTACATTATTTAACTTGCTGTGTACCAACCAATCCAGTCCCTTTTACCTGTTGAAATGGCTTTAAATGGCCAATACAACCCATAACATGCAGTATTTCACTTGACAGAAAGTGATTGCAGCCTCTAATTATTGACTGAAAGGTAGATTCTGCTAGGGGTGGGGAAAAAATCGATACAGCATAGTATCGTGATATTTGCCATGGCAATACTGTATCGATACACGGACGCCAAGTATCGATATTTTATTATATAAATTGCAGATGGGAGTTTTAACTTTTTGGTACTAGAATAATAAAATCTATTGCTTTTTTAGTCCACTAGAAAACTTAACAGGACCTAGTTGGAAGTTGGAAAAAGGTAATAAATTGCAATATATCTCAATATATTTAAAATCGCAATAAAATCGAATCGCAACATAAATATCGTGATAATATCGTATCGTGGGGCCTCTGGTGATTCCCACCCCTAGATTCTGCCTCAAAATGACTTGATTTCATTCAAAAATTATATTTGGCCGATTATAACTCAACTAGTACTTTTTACCTCTTAAAATACCTTTAAATGGCCAAAACAACACATAAAATGCGTTATTCTACTTGCCATAAAGTGATTGCAGCCTCTATCTATTGACTGAAAGGTAGTTTCTGCCTCAAAATGATTTGATTTCATTCAGAAGAGTTATATTTGACAGATTATAAAACCGAAATTGTCCCCGTTTTTAAATATATAATAAAATATTTTTTAATAACATACTGACCACCAAACCAAAAATGCCCCCGGTTTTCATTTCAGAAATCTGGTTACCTTACCCAAGGTGGCGCCTTCAAGCCTAGTTCACACTACATGATTTTTAGCCTGATTTGCCGCTCATCAGGCTGTGATCGGGGGTAAATCAGCGGCTGATCGGCGTTTTGATTACTTGTTTTGCCCAAGCACCAGTCAAAAACTCTCAATTTACAAAGTTTTAAATCAGAGAAAAGCTGCAGAGCCTCATACTTGAGAAGCTGGAACCTGAGACTGCTAGGCGTTGTTTGATAAATGGCTTACATCCTGTAAAACTTTTATTTGCTTCAATCACTTAACTCACCCTGCCTCTATTTAGGACAGGCCTTTAATTCCTTTCGCATAAAACTCTTGCTCTGCTATGTTTATTTAAACCAGAATGAATATTACTTGAACAAAATGTTTTGCTTTTTTCATATGTCTTATTTTTCAAGTTTATAAACATTTATATTTGTATCCATGATCTAAGCAGCGTAGAACTAGCTTAAGTGGGTGACACAGTGGGCTTTTAGTGGTTTTATACATCCTGAGAACGGACCAGTACGTTTATTTGTCAAAAACGTGTAGCCACACCAGGCCAGTAAAAGGGACAGGCATCTAATTAGGACTTTTAATAGTTTTATGGTAATTAAGCACTAGTCTGCACCATATTTTAGTTACTCAGTCTAACAGCTAAATATCTGAAAACTTCTACTCAGTTTATAAAAATATAAAATTAATTAAAGCATAAATATGTAATTGCTCATTTTATTCTTTATTATTTTATTATTGTTAGTTGGCTTATTATTTAATCAAATCATTCATTCATTTCAGCACAACAGAAATGGGATGAGAAATGACTGCGGTTAAACCCTATTCAGACCTTCTTATTGTTTGTCACATTATCTCTCACCAGTACTTCCACATCTCGCTCTGACCGCTCTGCCCAGGCCAAACCACCCTCTGTGATGTCCTCTGACTCTGTGGCCACCTCTGCAGAGCTCTCCCCAGAGCTCAGGGTTAGTAGTCTGCACGTAGTTCACTGAGATCATGCTTACTAATGATGACAGATGCATGACTCTTGTCTTTTCTGCACCCTTCAGGTTAAGCCCAAAACTCTTGCCAAGGTATGCCAAGTCGTGAATTACACGTTACCCACCACGTGTCTTTGAATAATGCTTTAGAATGATTACCTTAGCAAGTTTCTTGGGTGCAGGCCAAGTGACTGCTCCACTTTTTGGTCTTATTTGTATCTAATGTTTCCAGCAGGTACTTAGAGATTCGGACAAAGAGGAACCACAATTACTTCCAAATGAAGTGGTGCAGGACATGGGTAGGTTCAATCACAGCTACTCAAAATAGCTTGCATGCATTTAAGGCAAAGTAGCTTCTTCCACATTAAAACAATTTGTAATATATTTGTTTTTAATGTTCTATAAGCCCAAGATGTCACCTACTTCTGTCCTTTCACCGGAGCACTGAGGGGAACAGTAACAGTTACCAACTACAGACTTTTCTTCAAATGCATGGACAGGGTATGCTTAGTGAATTTTTTAAAAAGCACCAATTTGGAAGAATCGTTAGGTGTTTGTTAATGTGTTGGTGGTTTCTAGGAGCCAGCATTTGTGCTGGACCTGCCCCTTGGGGTGGTGAGTCGAGTGGAAAAGATTGGGAGTGCATCAAGCCGTGGTGACGTGTCTTATGGGCTGGTTTGCAAGGTGAGTAAGATGTGGAAGTGGTCTGGATTAAACTACACTTCAAATGTTGACAGGTTACAGATGCAAGAACCTACAGATAGCACAGTAGACAGTCATACAGAGCACAGGCTAAGGCTCCTCCCCTCATCCCTGCTGCATAAACAAATGTGTCAGAAAACATTAAAGGTGCTGTAGAATACTCATTTTCAGGTCCCTACTTGTATTTAGGGTTTCTACTAGTATATTACATGCTGTAATGTTTGTCATACTGTCCATTTGTTGCTTCCTCACTTCTTTTCACCCTCTGTCTGAACACTCAGTTTTAGCTCCCGTCTCTTGCAGGCCCCCCAGAGCAGCCAGAGGACATGAGAGGGAATACCAGAAAATATTTACCTTTTCTTCATAACAGTATAAGCACTTTCTGTGAGATATGCTACACTGCACAACCTACAGCTCTGACTCTCTAACCCTGACATTCTGCTCTGCGTTTGTGTAGGATATGCGTAATCTACGATTTGCGCACAAACAAATGGAGGACACACTCAGGAAGTCCATTTTCGAAGTGCTGATGAAATTTGCGTTTCCTGTTTCGAACGGGCTGGTGAGTGATTCTGACTGTTTCTGACCACTGCAGCTCTGCTCTGTCTACCGACTGATGAAATTCTCTCCCATTTTCCATAGCAAATCTTTGCCTTTGAATACGGGCAAGTCTTTCCTGAAAACGGATGGAAGGTGTATGACGCTGTCTCAGAATACAAAAGACAGGTATTTAAAAATGACACGGTCCGACTGCTTGGCTTAATGTTACAGAAAGCTTATTACATCGGTTGCTTGTGCGTTTTTAAAGGGTATACCCAACGAAAGCTGGAGGATAACAAAAGTAAACGATCACTACGAGGTCTGTGACACCTACCCATCAACTCTGGCAGTACCTGTCAACATACCAGACGAAGAGCTGAAGAGAGTCGCTGCCTTCCGAGCAAAAGGAAGGATACCTGTGAGTGACCATTTCGCAGCGTTAGTCTAACTATGTTCTCCTGTGCAGCGGGTCTGCCTGTTGTAATGTCTTATACTCTGTGTATAGGTGTTGTCATGGATCCATCCAGAGAGCCAGGCGACAGTGACGCGCTGCAGTCAGCCCATGGTTGGGGTAAATGGGAAGCGCAGCAAAGAGGATGAGAAATACCTCCAGGCGATCATGGATGCTAATGCTCAGTCCCATAAACTCTTCATTTTTGATGCCAGGCCCAGCGTCAATGCTGCCGCCAACAAGGTTTAGCAGATTTGTTTTTTATATTTAAAAAGAAAAACATAATAAACTTAATAAGGAAATCATGTTACCCGTTATTAATCCTGTACATAGTGGCCAGAGGTTAGGGTCATTTGTAGTACAGCACCATCAGTGAAAGTACCAGTGTTCTTTTACTGTCTCCACTTGTCTTGTGTTTTTCTTCAGATGAAGGGGGGTGGTTATGAAAGTGAGGATGCATATCAAAATGCAGAGCTGGTGTTCTTGGATATTCACAACATCCACGTGATGAGAGAGTCCCTCCGCAAGCTGAAGGACGTGGTCTACCCCAACATCGAGGACTCCCACTGGCTCTCCAATCTGGAGTCCACTCATTGGCTCGAGCACATCAAGGTGAGCAGAACGATGTATCTCTGTGAACCAGGAGAGGCAGGGGAAAAATGAAGATGAGCTAATTCCCAGCCTCTTGACAAAGTCGTTTGTGTGTATGTTTGTAGTTGATCCTGGCAGGAGCACTGCGGATTGCAGACAAGGTGGAGTCGGGGAAAACATCAGTGGTGGTGCACTGTAGCGATGGCTGGGACCGCACAGGCCAGCTCACCTCGTTGGCCATGCTCATGTTGGACGGTTACTACCGCACCATTCGCGGCTTCGAGGTGCTGCTTGAGAAGGAGTGGCTGAGCTTTGGTCACCGCTTCCAGCTGGTAATTTAAATTTCTTAAATTTTTCCTACCTTTTCTATATTTTGGAAAACCACATAATTGGCCATTGGCCTCTCCAGTTGCATCACTTAAAGTCCATTCCTCTTTCATCATTTCTTAAAGCGCATCGGTCATGGCGATAAGAACCACACAGATGCAGACCGCTCACCTGTCTTTATTCAGTTCATTGACTGTGTCTGGCAGTTGACTCGCCAGGTAAGCAATACGTGTACTGATATGTGGGGGGAAACAAATTTAGAATAAAATGGTCTTTCTAGGACACTAATAAAATGTTTTTAAATTTAAGTTTCCTGCAGCCTTTGAGTACAACGAATACTTCCTGGTAACCATCCTGGACCACCTGTACAGCTGCCTGTTTGGGACATTCTTGTGTAACAGCGAACAGCAGAGGTTGAAGGAAGTAAGAGCATTTTATGATTGCGGTAGCTGGTGCAAAATGAGACGTTTTAATGTAAAATATTGGAATGACTGTGGAGTAGAAAGTCTGTCACTGGTGTTACGGCTGCTGCCGGCACCCATCTGTAGTTTACCTGTGCATGTGTCTATCTATCATGCTGTTGGAGGTTTCTTGGGCATTCTGTGTCATGACAATCACACCTTTTTATTTGACAGGAGATTCCCAAGAGGACAGTATCGTTGTGGTCTTATATAAACAGCCAGCTGGAGGAGTTTACCAATCCTTTGTATGTGAACTATTCCAACCACGTGCTGTTCCCTGTAGTCAGCTTACGTCACCTGGAGCTTTGGGTTGGCTACTACATCCGCTGGAACCCGCGCATGAGACCTCAGGTTTGTGAAGAAGCCTGTCTCTTGTTTGAGACCTGATGTCAGTGTAGTCAGAGGAAATAGTTTGCACTCCATACGTGCTCCACTCACAGCTTTAACTTTTTGTTCTTGTTGCCAGGAACCTGTTCATCAGCGCTACAAGGAGCTGCTGGCGAAGCGAGCTGAGCTTCAGAAGAGAGTGGACGAGTTACAGCGAGAGGTGACCAATCGCTCAGCCTCCTCTTCCTCTGAACGGGCAGGCTCCCCCACACGCTCCATCACTCCAGTGCAGACATTTGTTTGACACATCTTGACCCTCATGGCGGTCACAGAAGCTGAATCCTACCTGTGAGAAGGTGCCATACTGTAGTAATCAGTAGGCAACACTTGGCGCAGTGAGGACCTGTGTGTCAAACTGCCTCTTTGGGTGAAACACCGTGTTAATACACTACCAACAAAAGTCTGGTTAGACAGATTACTGTATTTGCATCTCTCACAGGTCATGCAACCGAAGAGTGACTGCCTCAGACTGCTTCACAACAGCCATATTTTACTCTTCCTCCACAGTTCAGAGGACATGTAACCAGAATAGTGAGTACTGTTTAGCATCGACCTACCTACAATCGGTGTTGATTTTTCTTTTCTGAAGTACACAAATATTGCGCGGGTTAAATATGTATGCCTTATTCACTTCATAGGAACACTCATTTGATTCCTCTACACTGCAGTTGTTTGTTACGTATTGATTTGAAAGCAACACTGCTGAAGCAAAGATGTACATTGCTGTAAAATGATTTGAAGCTCTAAACTGTAGTACTAACACTAACTAACAACTAACTGGCTCTGGAGTTTAGTCAAATATTAAAGACATGTAGCTAAAGAGCTGTAATGTTAGGTTCTTCTAATAGTAAGAAAGATAGTGTATTAAAAAAGGCAGGCTGTCTTCATAAGCCAGTGCTTTTAGATTGTTGTGACCAAATATCTGTTTGTTTGTTTTTTTATGAATACATAACGTGTCATGCATTGCATTCCTCTCACTGAGTGATGTACGATTTGTAAGTTTCATTTTTCTAACTAGTTAACATTATTTATTATGCTTTAGTCCAGACTTGTATTTATGGCTCACAAACACTCTCATGTCATAAATTCATTAGAGATTTTCTTGTGAATTATTACTAAGCCACACAGAATATGCAAGAGTTCATTTTTCCCAGTTAATAGTCATTAACGCTTTTTAAAGCTAGTGTCAGCCAATATCCTTTTTGTAGGCAGTAGAATTTGTAACTAATTTGTTTTGGGTATTTGTTTTTTGTTTAATGAATATGAATGAATATCTGTGCCTTTCTCTGAATGACTGACTGGGAGAGTGCAAAGTGAGCATAGTGCCACAGTGAAATGGTAGTCAGCCTTTCCACTGCACGTGTGAATACTTCCAATAAACACAGGACAGAACTTAAAGGAGTCAGTATGGTTTGTTGCATTGCTGTGACATGAACACAACTCCCTCCAGTCTATTCCTTGGTTTTAGCTGTTAGTGTTTCAAATGGTAACCGAACCCCAATTACATTAGCATTAATTATCTGTTGTTATGATTATGGCCCTGCCATAATATATAACAAACCGAGTGCCTTTTTATTATAAATGAAGAAATAGTGATTTAAAAAGTCTGAAATTTACAGTGTGACTGTGCTGCAGGGTAATATTAGACTGCAATAGAGGCAACATTAGCCTGGTCATATTCAAGCTGTTTCACTCTCATACCTAAATATTAGATGAGTAGCCATAAATTGGCTTTAAGGCATCCTTTACCTATTAACAGGCATATTATTCTCTTGACTTTTGTTTTTTACTCATGCCTACTTAAGATGAAGTTATATTTCTGCTTATATTGAATTATTCTCCCTTTGAAAATGTACAGCTATTAAAGTGTGACCATTTTTCCACACGGGTGAAGTGACAGTGCAGTGCTGTATCCACTTAATTGCTTCAAAACTTGATATAAATATCTTGATATACCGCATACAACAGCAAGTCAAATGTCAAAATGTTTAAATAAAAGTATGTAATCAACTTTTTGTGAACTTTTGGGTTCTTTTGTGTGTGTTAGCAAAAATTTAGTAAAACAGTGTGTGTTACTATTTTTCATTGTGATCCAGCAAAGCTATTCCTATTTCTATTCCTTGTTGTATTTTATTAATTAGCAAGCAGCTGATTCCAAGGAAACACACAAAGACTTGAGAGAGGAGACCAAAACGAGGGAGAAACGCAGCATGTGAAAGTGGGGAAAGTAAACATAAGGCTTACAGAAATGTGTTCAGGGGACCGGAAAAGAGACAGGAACTGGGTCAGGGTCAGCCCAGGAGTCGGGTGAAGAAGAAACATGAACAAAGTCTGAGAAGGCAGATGAACTGCTATGGTCTAACTAGTTTTCAAGGCAAAATCGAAATCCAGCTTAACTCAAAACAAGATTTAAGTGAATTTTGTGAACTTACTGTTTATCTGACCACAAATGAGATAATATTTAGGTTGGGAAAACGACAGACTTTATTCACTGATTTTGGTGAAACCAGATCAAATTCTACAAAGAAAATATTTTCTGGTTTCCCTGTGATGTCCTCTGGTTGCTCTGCCTCAACTCTCATTATTTCATCAAACTAGACAGCTAGTAGGTGATCTTTAACCAGGTACCCCCTCACTGGAAACAGAAAACAATATAGTCTAATAGAGATTACTCAACCCTGCAATAAACTAATTCGCAAAATGTTGATTGAAATGTCACACACATTAAATACCCAAGATGGATTAATAATTATAATTCAATAATATATACATTATTCTGAAATGTGCCACTCTGCATAATGAGTACTTTTACTTTTGGTACTTTAAAAATATTTTTATGCTAAGTGAAATTTTGAATGCAGGACTTTTACTTGTAACAGAGTACTTCTGCACTGTGGTTTACTACTTTCACGTAAGTAAACTATCTGTACACATTTACAAAAGCTCTGCCATATGTAGACTAAATGATCAGAATCAGAAATACTTTATTGACTTTTTTAGAATATATATAAGAAACCATAAATATAATTATAATAATACCCTACAAATTATGAATCATCAGAATCAAACAGTACAGGTGTCATATAGAATCAAAAGCTGTCTAACTGATTTACCTGTTTACCGTTTTTACCTGCGTGGCCACATGCTGTAGGATTTGAGAGATGGTTTGGCTCCTGATTTGTGACTACCTTGTGTCTTTCAGTGCTCCTGACAATCTAGGGCCCCCTGGACCTTACTGGCACTCCTGCCAGTACAGGCTGATAACATTAAATAGGGATGATTTCCATTTGAAAACCTCTAACGCAACATGACATTGATGACTTAATAATTAGACCTCCAACCCAGTTAACAACTGTACAAGTTAATGTCATGAGATTACAAGATGTGTGTGGAGCTGTGTTCGATGAATCCAGACATGTGATTGGCTCTGCGTATTTCAAAATGTGAATCCCGCGGACGGATGTTGTGTCGCGATAGGTTTTCTTTCTTCTTCTCGAGTCGTCGGCTACTTCCGGTTACATGACGACGACGGCGTTGATACAAAAAGAGAGGAGGAAAACAGGAAAATACCTTTCCTTGGCGAGAACAGTGGAAACTTAATATAAATAGCCAGATCTATATAAACGGGTTGCTTATGTCGCGGCACAACTAACGATCGATCTCGACTTAGTCTGGTTGGATATCGTGTGAAGCAGTGAGCGATCACAGATATTTGGAGTTTATTGTTCTTCGCCTGCTCCCTCCAGCTAAGCTATTTCTGTGTTGCCCTACCTAGCCGAGCCAGCTAACGTTAGCTAACGCTGGATGCCAACACAGTGTCTTTAGTTCTCAATTACCGAGCGGCCAGAAAGGAAGCAGCGCCGCTAATCCGCTCAGTTTGCAGCTGGACTGACCTCTTCTCACTCGGCGACGATGGCAACGTCGGCTCTGTACGCCTGTACGAAGTGTAACCAGCGGTACCCCTTCGAGGAGCTGTCGCAGGGCCAGCAGCTGTGCAAGGTATGAGTGTGTGTGTGTGTGTGTGTGATCGAGGATGATCGCAAACAAGCCACAAAACACCGCCGGGCTTAAAGAGCGTGGAAGTGTTGTTGCGGACCCGGTGTGATGGTGTTATTACGGCAAGCAGCAAGTTACCACACGGGTTATGTAACAAGCTTTTATCTTCCCAACCTAGAAACGCTCTGTAACTGTAACCTCGTTCAGATCAAGCCTTTACGACCACTCTGTTTATTAAAGAGTAATAACACATTGACCTGCTTAATATTAATATTATAAAACAATTATGCATGTTTTAAATAGCCGTTAATGTACAGACTTGCCAACTTGTTGCTCTTGTAGAGCTTCAGATGTAGAATTGCTGTGTATAGCTGAGCAGACATTTGTTCTGTAATTGAAGAGTTTTAATGGAGGAGGGAAATACTGATCCTCTAACAAGCCCTCTGTTCCCACCTTTGTTTACAGAAAGCACAGGGTTATCACTCTGCAAACATCCTTTCAGCACTTTAGAGAAGTTTACCCCTGAATATACAGAAAAATTTTCTTTGCACAGGATGGATAAAGTGCAAGGTCAACTGATGAACAACGTAATGTTATTCCAGCTATATATTAGAGAATGCCAGCTAAAGTCACCGTTATCCAACAATGGTTCTGGTTAATAGTTTCCCACACTCCCCAGCTGTGATAATTTGTAGCCAAGAGGTCATACAGCAAACATCAGGTTGTGTTGATATACAAAACAACTTATGAGGCAGTCTTGTCAATTTATTTGTCAGTCTTTGCCAACACATGCCCATGAGAATGCTGTCATTTCTTTGTTTTGTCACCACAGGAGTGTCGCATCGCACATCCCATAGTGAAGTGCACATACTGCAGATCTGAGTTTCAACAGGAAAGGTGAGATATGTGCACCTTGTGTGGAATTTCTTTTATTTATTCTAACACAGTGAATTGCACATGTTACTGTCATTTGTTATGGATGTAAAACCCTTGTTTGTTCTTCACAGTAAAACCAATACAATCTGCAAGAAATGTGCTCAGAACGTCAAACAGTTTGGAACAGTGAGTAACAAGTTTTTTTTTTTTCACTTTTAGTTCAAGTTGCACTTGGTGTCGCATCATGTGTAAATACACTTCTAACACTTCTAACATTTTGTTGTGGGTTTTTGTCTTGTGTCTGTCTTCACAGCCCAAACCCTGCCAGTACTGTAACATCATTGCAGCTTTTATCGGAACAAAGTGCCAGCGTTGTACTAACTCAGAGAAGAAATATGGACCTCCACAGACCTGTGAGCAGTGCAAACAGCAATGCGCCTTCGACCGCAAGGAGGAGGGCAGGAGAAAGGTATAAACCATACACACATGCAGTCTAATTTGACAGTGAAGGCGTAACAGAGAGTCTTATGAACTGCTGTCCCCTGCCTGTCTTACAGGTGGATGGGAAACTGCTGTGCTGGCTCTGTACTCTGTCCTACCGACGTGTCCTGCAGAAGACCAAGGAACAGAGGAAGGGCTTCGGCTCCTCCAACTCCTCATCCCTGAACGAGAAAGACCACCACTCCAGACCTCACCATCATCACCACCACCACCAACACAGACACAGCAGCTCTCATCACAAGTAGGTCATCTGTTGTGTTGCTTCTCCCTCTTGCAGTCCCCACGCCACTGTTAGACTGTTGATGTATTTTTTTTTTTTACACAGACTAGTGAAAAGATTTGTGTCTGTTTTTATGCTATAATATGGTAATAAAAAGTAGAAAAATGGATCCGGCCAGTCACAGCTGACTTCTCTTTGTGCAGACTGAGTGGGAGTTTGAGTCCTGAGCAGGAGCAGGGACTGTGGAAGCAGAGGTAAAACTTTTCCTGCTCATTTGAAATCTTTACACCAGAAAACAAAGTATTGAATGAGTTTTTAAGCCCAAATTGTACATTTTGATTTTCTTTGCAGCCATAAATCGTCTTCAATCCAGAAGGAGACTCCAAAGAAGAAACCAAAACTGGAGATGAAGCCATCCAACGGGGACAGGTATGATGAGTGTTGTAGTTGTTTGGAAAAGCATCGAGTGTGTTACTAACTTTTTCACATTTACATACATTTACCTTCCACGTGTTAACCCATCTTAGTACTGGCCTCATGCTCGTTCCTGTCTCCCATCAGTAGTTCAATCACCCAGTCGATGGATTCTGGAGGAACAGACAACTTCATTCTCATCAGCCAGCTGAAAGAGGAAGTGATGTCCCTGAAGAGACTTCTGCAGCAAAGGGATCAAACCATCCTGGAAAAGGACCGAAAAGTAGGTTATCAGCCTCACCAGAGCTAATGAGTCAAAGCTGCATCACTGTCGTTTGCTTGTATTTGTTTCACGTATTGACAATTTTATTCCCCCCTTAGCTCACAGAGC